AACAGGAATCGATCTTATTTAGTTACCTTTTATTGATTTCCTGCAATGTGCCAGATAGTGTTAGAGGTTTTCATTAATTTGATATTTTATTGTCCTTAAAACAGCCCTACAAAATAGGCATTTTTTATCCTTATTTGGTAGAGCAGGAAAGTGAACTTAGAGAAGTCATGTAACTGTGCAGTTTCACAAATGGAAATGGCGGAGCAGGCCTTCAAACCTAGGTCCAATTGAACCAACACTCATGCTCTCCCTCTTGCCCCCATTATGCTACACTCATTTATCTTGAGGCAGTTGGTAGGTTTGCCTATGTAAAGAGACAATCTGGGTTTCCAGGAAAAAAGAAATGGGTTATCACCTATGCTAAGCTTAAGTACTCTCCAAAAAAGCTGTTTAAATGACATAAATTTATTAGGGACTATTATGCATTTGGACTTGAAAAAAACCAATAGTTCAATTCAAAGATACCCAGAGGCTCTATTATCAGCTACCACTTATATTTTACAAGGACCTTATTGCCACTACCAATATATACAGATTGGTATATACCAATATACACAGAGATTTTTTAGTGTCCTCACTCAACACCTTCCTTTCCCCAGAAATAAAGCCTGCGCTCTCTTAAATATGCAGGCCCCAGTTTTCATAACTTCATCTGCCAGGGTTGGGTTATAACAAGCTGGGTTATGCTGTGATAATGAGCAGCTCCAAAAATCTTGGTTGTTTAGTACAATAAAGGTTTACTTCTTGCTCATACACAGTTTGCTGTGGGTCTGGGTGGCTCTCCGGGGCATCTGCACTCCCCACTGTGCCCCCCGCCACCCCGCCAATATGGTAACTCAGAAACAGGCTGTTTCAATATTTCAGCTCTTCCAGTTCAACACAAGGCCCTTCCCACAGTCGCAATGGCAGGCAGCAGAGAGACTTGAGAATCACAAACAGCTTTTCACTGCCGCAGCCCAGGAGTGATTCCTCACTTCTGCTCACGTATCATTAGTCATAATAGTCACATGACCCTACCCACTTGCAAGGGCAGCTGAGAAAAACAGTCTTCTATGTGCCTGGGAGAGGAGGAGAACGAGATATTGCTGAACACTAGTGATGTCTATGTAATAATCTGCATTATCTATATCTCTTATACAGGCACAGAAATAGCCATTTGGAAACAGAACCACTTATTCCAGATGGGTAGCCAAGGGCCATAAGGACCCCTCTTTTCTCAGCAGGCTGCTGCTTGAGCCTACCAACTCAAAATATTCCCATTTCTCCAGCTTTTCTGTCCTCTCCATCTTTAGTGAGAGGCATGCAGGGGCATGTGAGGGTGTGGCATGGGGACAGGAGGGAGGAGGAGACCTTCAATGCAGAAAGGAAAGAAGAAAGGGAAAATAAAACCTATAGGCTCCTCCTCACTTCCCTCCACCACCTGGGTCTTTGCAATATCCTAAGTGCTATTCCATCTCTTCTTCTCCCTACCCAAGCCCTTTCCTGCTCTTTAATAAATGCCCAAGAAAGTTGGAATCTGCAAATTCTCTTAAAAATAAATTGCATTCCATAAGATTCTATAGGTATGGAAAGACTGGTTATTAGCAACTATATGCAAATTTTGCCTATCACTACACCATAGGAATATAAGGGGAAAAAAAGAGAAGGAAATAGGCCTTTAAAAATTACCTATTGCCTTTTTATTCTTGTCAGACCTTCAGCTGATTGGTTAAGACCCATCCACATTATAGAGGGCAGTCTACAGATTCAAATATTAATCTCACCCAGAAATACCCTTATAGACACACCTAGAATAATACTTGGCAAAATATCTGGGCAACCTGTGACCCAGTCAAATTGACACAAAATTAACCACCACCAGGGCCAGCCCCGTGGCACAGAGGTTAAGTTTGCATGTTCCGCTTCAGCGGCCCAGGGTTCACCGGTTCAGATCCTGGGTGAGACATGGCACCACTTGGCAAGCTATGCTGTGGTAGGCGTCCCACACATAAAGTAGAGGAAGATGGGTATGGATGTTAGCTCAGGGCCAGTCTTCCTCAGCAAAAAGAGGAGGATTGGCAGCAGCTAGCTCAGGGCCCATCTTCCTCAAAAAAAAAAAAAAAAAAATTAACCCTCACCTATTTTCCCAGGGTTATAAGAAGGAAAATCCCTAAGCGAATCCCAGTAGGTATGATTGAAGAATAGGTGATTGGAGAAAGCCGTGAAAATCTGTTCTGTTCCACACTACTGTATGCCTGCCTTCCCAGCACGAGGGCATTAACATTTGTTAAATGAGGAACTACTGGCAAAAGGAGGAGTGTAACTTTTAAATGCTGTGGAGACTGAAGGAGGTAAACCTAGAGACTGAGTAGGACCTCCCTGGGAGTCCTCATTCCCCAGAGCCTCTCACTCCCTCTTTCTGCCCCCACTCTGCTTGAGAACCTTATCATCCTGTTTACTATTTCTATAGGGAAATGGCCCTGAGTGCTAAACAACTCCCATAAATCTTTGGGAACACAAGGCGTTTTTTAGTTGGGAGAATGCTTTCTTATACTATGCATTATGGGAGAGGAATGTTACTTGGAACAGCATTATCTAAGAGCTAGAGGTTGCTTACTTTTTATTCCATGTCCCAATATCTGCTTTTAGTGTAGCTCCAGAAAGTTTTAAATAAAAATTGGCTAGCATGTCGACGTCTAGCCTGGTGGTCCTAATCACTTGCCTTCAGTAATGGCTGTGTACCTGATTGGTGTCAGGTGTTAATGTTGGCCAGCTCATGTCCACCTAACATCTGTACATGCTAAGTAATTGAAGTGGACTGTAATTAATTTATGTGGGGTTTTTTTTTTTTTTACCACTTCAGGTTCAATTCCAGAAAAAAATATATTTCAAATGAGACCTTTTGAGGGTTTTTTCGACAAAAGCTCAATAGGTATTATGGCAGATTGTATTTTCCTTAGATGATTGCAACAATATCTTTCATTCCACATGCTCTTTTTACAATATGACTGACACTGTCATTGAGTGGTGTGGTCTATGTCCTCTCTCCTTAAACGTGGCGTTTTTTTGACTGCTTCGGCAAATAGAGTACAGTGGAAGTGATGCCATGTGACTTCTGAGATTAGGTCATAAAAGTCAATGCAGCCTCTGCCTTGTCCTCTTGGCACTCTGTCTTGGAATGATCTCTTTCGGAACATAGCTGTTAGGGCAGCAAGGAAGCCAAACAGCCACTTGGAGAGGCCACATATGTACAGGTATTCCAGCCGACAGCTGAGGTCCTCAGAACAGCCAGCATTAACTGCCAGACAGGTAAGAGAGCAAGCCTTCAGATTCCAGATCCTGGTCTCGACTTCCAGCTGTCCCAGCTGATTTCACATGGTGCAAAGACAAGCTGTCCCACTGAGCCTTGCACAAATTGCCTATTTGTGAGCAAAATAAACAACTGCTATTGTTTGGGCCATTAAGTTTGCGGTGACCACACAAGTATAAATAACACTACTAGAGACACAACATATATTTAAATCATGTCCAATTTCTTATGTCAATCTTAAATTCTCCTATAATTCATATAGCACACGGCCCTAAGAACCATGTCACTCTATACTTGTCCTTGGTCTTCTATTTTCATAAAGCGATCTCCCCACAAGTCTGAGAATTATGGTGATCTTAGCTGATCAGGTTATTTCTTGATTCAAATAACCCTATACCCTAACATGAATCTAGGGTCTGTAGAGAATTTACTGGTATTTTTTCAGGATAAAAAAAAGAGAGAAGTTTCTTGATTAAACACTCTTCACATCTGCGAAATTGACTCTTTCCTACAGCGTTAGCTCAATCCTTCTTAGCAGTTTTGAGTAAGGGGTGGCAGGTGAAGATGAATAAAGGGATATTTTTCTGTTACTAAACAACTCTTTTATGCAAATTCTTCCCCAACCCTTCCTAAAGGAGTGTGCTGGATGTTGGTGAATTCTTACTATACTTTTTGTTTCATAATGATTATAGTGTAAGGGGTTTCATCTCGAAAAATGGACTCCCATAACAAATTTTAACTACTAGAAATGACTTTTTAAAAAAAATACAATTAATCAGTAATTTTCTTTTTTTAGACTCCAAAATGTTTAAAATAACTCCTTATATGGAAGATTATTACGTGCAAGTACTGTGAGAACCTAAAGATGTACAAGACATGGACTTTTGCTCTTTCAAGACGAGTAAGTAGCAAGGGTTACCAGTGAAAGCGAAGTAGTCATATTGTAGAAGGATCGGCCTTGAGACAACCAAGAATTAACTATTTCAATCAATTCTTAAGAATCTTGGGACCTAGTCCCATCCGTTAATATGTCAAAGCACTCCACCATGTCCTTCACTTATTAAAAACAATCTAGTTTCCAAAAAAGTCAAAACAGACAGATCTTTAGTTGCCTTTTCCTGTCTCATCTCATTTCTCCTTTCCCCAGATCTTTTCTCGGGGCGCCCCGCACGTTCCTTTCCCCAGGCGGCTTCTCCCCCTTTACCGTTTCTTCTCCTTCACTGGGTTGTCCCAGCATCCCAACCTCTTGCAACAGCCCGCAGGAAATTGCTCCCTCCCCAATTCTTCAATCTCAGAATCCACCAGACCTGGGTTATACTGTGTACCTTCTAGAAATGAGACTCAATAAAGAGGCCCAGGAAACCGTGCACTGGATTCCTAAATTTCATCTTTCTTAAAGTGCTTCATCTACACCCAAAGCCTAACTGAGGCGCCGGGAGACTGGGCTCCCTGCCCAGGTGACAGCGACGCGTAATCATAACCCTCAGACAGCCCTTGTTGACAAGACAGCAGCAGCAACGACAGTAGTAAACGAAGAGGAGCCGCGACCGTGCCCAAGCCAGCCAGACAAGGACCCAGAGCGCCTCCCACGCTCTCCGCCGCGGCAGTCACGCTCCGGAGGGCCAAGATGGCGCCCTCCCGCGGCCGCCCCGGCGCGGGGGTGGGGGGGCGGGGGTCTCCGCGTCACGTGACCGCCCCCTCGGGCCGCGCGCACCCTGCTAGCTCAGGCGCGCGCCGGGAGTCCGGCAGCCGCGCAGTTAGTGCCGGTACCTCACCCGGAACGTTGTTCCTGTTCCCGCATAGCCGCGAAGGTCTTTCCCAGCCGCCGAAGGGCGGAGCGGGGCCAGGAAAGGGGGCGCTGGGCCGTGCAGAGGCAGAGGGGCTGCGGAACGGGGACCCTGCAGCCTGCGCCAAAGCAGGAGTTTGGGTGTCCCCGGCGAGGGGCTGGACAGGAGGAGACGGCGCAGGCGTCCTGGGGACTGCCAGGCGCAGAGGGCGAAGCTGTCGGGGAGGTCCAGAGCATTCCTCCCAGGGCATGGGCGCCGTCGGGAACTTTGGGGTCCCCTCGGGGCTCCGACCACTTGGCTTGGGCATTTCACGAGTTTCCCATCGCCATCCAGCCTCGAAGCCAACAGGATTGAAAACAGGCTTCAGCCAAATGTTTTCTTTCCTCTAAGGAGAGGGGCCGAGCCCGTCAGCCGGGGGGACTGGGGGGACTCGGGAGGGATGCCCCGACCCTCGGGGGGTGGAAGGAGCAAAAGTTGAAGGGGGCAGCGGGAGCGCAGAGCGCCCTCCTTGACCGTCAGATGCCTCCTTCTGTATTTCCATCTCTGCCGAGTGGGCTTGTCCTCGCTGAGTACCCAGGAGGAGGGACGGACGACGCTCGGCGGGCTCTGATCGTTGCCGCCTTCATGTGGCTGCTGACAGGCACCCAGGAGGGCACGGGAATGGGGCGCAGCCTCGCCCTCCTCCCTCCCTGCCTCCCAGGCGCCGGGGCTGGCTGGGTGGAGACGTGAGGGGACCCGCGGCTGCCCCGGGTTCTCCAGGACTCCATCAGGCACCTGCACGTCCCTCCGCGCGCGGGGCAGGAGAGGCTGGGCGCGGGGGTCCGAGGCTAGCGGACGGGCCTGTGACCAGCGGAGCCGGAGCCCCAGCCTCGCCATGGGGCATAATGGTAGCTGGATCTCCCGCAACGCCAGCGAGCCGCGCAACGCGTCGGGCGCCGAGGCGGCGGGCGCCAACCGCAGCGCGCTCGGGGAGTTCGGCGAGGCGCAGCTGTACCGCCAGTTCACCACCACCGTGCAGGTCGTCATCTTCATCGGCTCGCTGCTCGGTAAGCCGCCCGCGGGGCCGCCTCCCGGGTGGGCTTCCCCGAGGGCACAGGCTCAGAGAGCCGGGATCGCGGGCCCCCGGAGCCGCCGTGGGTTTCGGGATGCCTGGCAAAGTGCAATAGTTGAAGGAGGTTTCAGAATGCCGGGTAACTGCAGGGAAGTTAAGGCAGAGACAGTCGACTCCAGCCCCCAAGCTGGAAGCAGAAGAGTTCCGGTAGGTCTTTGTCCCGGCCGAGGACGGTGCCTGGTCCAGGCGGAGGTCAGCCTCCCCAGGCAGCCCTTGCGGAACACTTCGGGATGGGCACAGGGCTGTGCTCATCGTTCCCTACCTCTCGGATGCCAGGGCGGAGCGCTGGCCCGAGCTCTTGTTTACAAATAACGAGTAACAAAGCTTCTGTTTTGTTGCTGAGGACTGATGTGTTTTGCACTCCCATCTATTCCCTCTGCTTAAAATTGTTTTGAAAGAGCCTTATTTTGCACGTGTTCTATGGCTTGCTTCTTCGGAACACCGACCTGCTGGTAAACAACTCTGTGTTGCCTTCTCATATTTTTAAAACCCCTGAGCAAAACAAATCCCAGTCCACTTCTCTACCTATGTTTTGTTTGAAGTACAGAATAAAGACAGGATAAAAACGACAAGACACCACACTCGACAGATTTAGGTATACTTGTTCCGGGAAGAAAAGACCAACGAACTGAAATGAGTGGTTGGTAGGAACGTTTGTCCACTAGCCTGAGAATTGCCAGTACTTCTGGTAGTTACTCTTTAAATGATAAATGATAATATCCATTTCGGTTGAAGTTTGTTGAACATGTTGCATATTACTTGTAAATATGTGATGACCCTTCAAATGTAAATTTTCTCTTGTGGTATTTATAAGGATGTAAAAAGATTGTGATTGTGTGTATTATGGCCAAGAGCAATCTTAAAGTTTCAAAGTAGGAATAGATTACTTTTTTGTAGACACCTGTGAATTTCCATGGAAACCCAGATAACTGACATCAGAAGGACTATGGAAGAATTTTAAGTGTTTGGAATTTCCCTTTATAATTTCTCTAATTGTCATCATCCTGTTCCACTCTATCATAATATTTATCTTCCCTTTTTTTTTTTTTAAGACTTTATTTTTTCTTTTTCTCCCCGAAGCCTCCCGGTACATAGTTGTGTATTTTAGTTGTGGGTCCTTCTGGTTGTGGCATGTGGGACGCCACCTCAGCATGGCCTGACGAGTGGTGCCATGTCCGCGCCCAGGATCCGAACCAGCGAAACCCTGGGCCGCCGAAGCGGAGGGCATGAACTTAACCACTCAGCCATGGGGATGGCCCCGATCTTCCCTTTTTTTTTCATGAGGGCATTTTCAGGAGTAGACATCAATGGGTCTATGTCTAGGGGGGTGTGTGTGTGTTAAGATGTGTTTTTATGAGTGGAGTGTTAAATACACATTAACAAAGCAAAAGCTTATGTTTTAAATATTTTCAATATTTATTTAACAAACAGCAAACACTGAACACCTACTAGGTACCACGCACAATGAATTGTAGATGATTGGGAGTTAAAATCCAGTCTTGTCACATTGACTTAAAGTGTAGATCACTGGGGAGGCAGTGGAAGTGGCTGCATTTTTATTTCTGCAGGGTTTTATACACACACATCTATATATTTGTTTAGTTTTCCCCATTGGTAACTTTAACCCTGAAGAAAGATGGTGTTGGGAGAAATTTTCCCATAGTTTGACTCTAAAAATTTGAGTATTATTGAAATGAAGACAGAGCATGTATGTAAAGGCCATAGCAAATAGTGCACGTTTAATAAATGTTAGTTTTGCTTCCTATGTACCTTTCATTCTTGTAACTTGCATTGGATTTAGGAATTCCCAGATGATTCTGCCCTTATTCAACTTTCTCCACACAGCATTTTAATTGACATGCAAAAACTGCTTTTGTGGGTATCTCCAAAGAGAAGACTGATTTTTCCCTTGATCTTTGATTATGCCTGACTTGACCTAGGAAGACATATTTTCCCCCTTCCACATTCCTTGGGCCCTCCTCAGAGAGAAGTCCATTTGCTCCCTTTTATTTTCAGAAGAAATATAAATATGGTTAAATTTCTAGAACTCAAAAGTCGGAGAACTTGTGCAAAAGTGAAAGGCATTTCTGGTTTCCTTAAAAGTTTAGCCCTGTTGTTACTGACTGGTATTCTTTATTCATTGTTCTCTGAGAATTTGACCCATGTAAATATATCTATGTAATTGAATCCTCCTGGTAATACCAGTTGAGGCTCAGAGCTTAAGTTCCAAAGCCATGTGCAGTCAAGTAAACTTGGGAAGCATAATTTCATGAAGCCCAAAAATAGAGAAAAAAATCACAGATTAGCAATAAAAGAAAAGGATTTATCGTGGAAAAATCTGTAAGGCTGAAAAGTAAAATGGAAGACGGAATACTATCTAGAATAGCATGTGAACACTGATTTAATCTACTTGTTTCCACTGTCACCACACATAGATGAATTAATTTTTCTTTTATTTTTTTCCCTTTAAACAAATTCAAATATACTTCCCGTATTCTCTAAATAGAATTTTTCATTAGAATTTTCAGAGGCCCACTATTAAGTGAAAATAATTCTTTTGTACAATTAATGTCTTGCAGCTCTTTTTGAAAATTTAGTGCCCTCTATTAGGAAAAATCTCCAGCAACTTGGAATAACTGTAATATTTTAACCACAGGGAGCGTTAATTGCTGTGTTGAAAATGAACTCAAGAATTGTGTGTAATATTATTCAAATAATGCCTTTTGAGAGTTTGTATAAACGAGTGTTTCTCAGCCTTTTTTATGCAACATCTTGGGATAGCTTCAGATATGCTGTAGATCTTGACAGAGAGTCAAACAGTTTGGATTCTCCTTCGGTAAGTCTACGGCACACACAGCTTGGTAGTGAATAGTGTGAAATTAAAGACTCAGAAAGATTTGGAATCACCATTTCCAATAAATGCTTTGGCTCTAACCCCTCAGAGTTGATCTCCCTCTCTTTTCCCCACTCTCTTTGGATTCACAATCCAAGGGTCTGGAGAGCTGGGCCCCTTTCTGGTGCTTTCATTTGAAAAAGGTCAGTGGTTGTGACCTAGCCTCTTACCTCTAAGCTCCTCCTGCACAAATTGCCTGTCATCTGTGCTTATCATCATTGGAGGCATTTAGGAGATTTTTATAGATGAATTTGCTCTGATTTAAAGAAAATTAGCGCTGTAGACAATAGCCAATAAGTAAGTATCCTACCCAGAAATTTATTTTAAAATAGAGAAATCAGTCTGCCTTCTTCTTGCCAAACCAACATATGTATGATTCTTATTTTTAAGCTATATCCCCTTTTCTTCCCAATTGACTATAGTGAACCAGCATGAAACTGATGACCCCAAGTAAAAGTCCAACTTGGCTGTGGTCTGATTCCTTGAGGTGGTTATTGAAGTATTCATTTCATTGGAAAAGTGGGGAACTGACTTGTTGAATCAATTTGACAGATGATATGGATAAACATCGTTTTTGTCCATGATTGTTTATAGTCTTTCAACAAAATCATCTTGGGCACCAGCAGTGTTCATGGTAATTGTTTGACAGAGAAATATACTTGTGTTTTTGATACTTGTTGACATGAGCCAGTTAATAGCCGGAGAATTCTTGGAATTCCTTGGTTGAATGTTTGATAGAAACAGTGTTAATACTAGTTTGTGCTTATAATTCGTAATTGCACAAGATGATCTTTAGTTAACCATAAGTATAGCCAATTACAGTGTAATGTCAACAGCCTTATTCTACCTGCTTTTTCTGTTTTTGGTATGCCTAGAAATCTAGCAGAGCACATCAAGAATATGGTGTCCTGGATTGACCTAAGGAGTTTGCTATGGCGAGCTCAGTAGTTACCAGCCTGGCTACTGAACTCCTAATGTATTGACTCAGATGGCTTCACGTTGCCTTTAATTTCCTTATGATGTGTGCATTTCCACCCCTTCTTTTATAATGTAGTAAGTTAGGCACAGACAATCAATCTGACCTGTATTTGAATGAAACAGCTTTTGGTAACCCTGTGCTTTTCCTTTCTAGGTCTTCAGTGTATCCTTCCACTTTCCAGTTCTTCCTGGAAATTAAATTCTACTGCGAAAACTTAAAATAACAGCTTTACTGAGATAAAATTCATGTACTATACAATTCACCCAATTATAGTATACAATTCAATGTTTTTTAGTATATTCACAGAATCATGCAGCCATCACCACTGTCGGATTCCAGAACATTTTTATCACTCCAAAAAGAAACCACATACTCATTGTATTTGCTTCCCATTTCCCCTCAATAGCCTGAGCCCTAGGCGATCACTAACCTACTTTCTGTCTCAATGGATTTTCCTGTTCTGGACATTTCATATGTATGGAGTCATACAATATGTGGTTCTTTGTAATTGGCTTCTTTTACTCAGTATAATGTTTTCAAGGTTCAGCTATATTGTAGCGTATTCTATGGCTGAATAATATGTCCATTGTTTGGATATACCATCTTTTCTTTATCCATTCATCAGTTGGTTGACATTAGGGTTGTTTCCACTCTTTGGCTGTTATGAAAAATGTTGTTTTGAACATTTGTGTAGTTTTGTGCGGGCATAATGTTTTCAGTTCTCTTGGGTATACAGCAAGAGTGTAATTTCTGGGTCATATGGTAACTAAATTTCTTCTTTTTGGGAACTGCCAAACTGCTTTCCCAAGTGGCTGCATCATTTTACGTTACCACCAGCAGTGTGTGAGGGTTCTAATTTCTCCACATCCTCACCAACTTCTGTTATTATTTGTCTTTTTGATTATAGCCATCCTAGTGGATGTTAAGTGGTATGTCATTGTGGTTTTGATTTGCATTTTCCTAATGACTAATGATGTTAAGCATCTTTTCATGCCCTTATTGGCCATTTGCATATCTTCTTTGGGGAAATGTCTGTTCAGATCTTTTACCCATTTTTAAATTA